CTGATTTCTCTGGTCTGAAGTAGTCTGCAGTGCCTTTCATGTTCCTTGATTCTTGTTTGGGCGCTGCGTTTGGTGGTCCCTATGTAGACTTGTCCACAGCTGCATGGTACACGGTAGACTCCTGCAGAGGTGAGAGGATCTCTCTTGTCCTTTGCTGAATGTAGCATTTGCTGGATTTTCTTAGTAGGTCTGCAGATTGTTTGTATGTTGTGTTTCCTCATCAGCTTCCCTATGCGGTCAGTGGTTCCCTTGATGTATGGCAGGAACACTTTTCCTCTGGGTGGATCTTCATCTTGACTCTCGTGGCTTGTTCTTGGTCTTGCAGCTCTTCTGATGTCTGAGGTGGAATATCCATTGGCCTGTAGAGCCCAGTTGAGGTGGTTCAGTTCATCTTGGAGGAGGTGGGGTTCGCAGATTCTTTTTGCACAGTCTGCCAAGGCTTTAATGGTGCTTCTTTTTTGACTTGGGTGATGGTTGGAGTTTTTATGTAGATATCTATCTGTGTGTGGGTTTTCTGTAAACGGTGTGACCCAATTGTTGATCTGGTTTACGGATGACTAGGACATCTAGAAAAGGCAGTCTTCCTTCCTTTCTTTTTCCATAGTGAACTGGATGTTTGGGTGGATGCTGTTAAGATGTTCCAGGAACCTGTTGAGTTCTTCTTCTCCATGGCTCCAAATGGTGAAAGTGTCATCCACATATCTGAACCATATAGTGGGCTTTTTGGTTGCTTTTTGGTTCACTATGGAAATAGAAAAGGAAGGAAGATGGCTTTTTCTAGATGTCCTAGTCATCCGTAAACCAGATCAACAATTGGGTCACACCGTTTACAGAAAACCCAGACACACAGATAGATATCTACTAGGGCTGGGCGGTTTCGTTAATTCGTAATTCGTTAATAATTCGTTAATTTTTTCAATTACAAAACGATAACGAACCATTCTGGAGCAATTAAAAAAAACGAATTTTCAAAAACGTTTTGTAAATGCTTCATATTTCGATATTGTATTCATTTCGTTAATGTTTTGAGGTCGTTTCGTTATTATTTCCGCATGTCTGGGCCAGTTTTATGGTTTAATTAGTGAAAAAAAATTATAATATCACGCCAACAGTCAACAACAGAGGGAGAGGGAAGCTTCAGAAGGTTTTGGAGGTTTTTTAGCGTATTTCGCGGTCGCGTCCGCCATTAACGAATCGATTCGTTATTGTTTCGGAAATCGATTCGTTAATTTTTTACCATTTACGAAATTTCGTAAATATCGAACTTTTTAAAAGGAAAATTTTGTAATTATTTTAAATATCGAAACAAAAAAACCCCAAATACAAATCGATTTTAGAAACAAATTTTTCCGTTGTTACCCAGGCCTATAAAATAACAAAACCCCAACCATCACCCAAGTCAAAAAAGAAGCACCATTAAAGCCTTGGCAGACCGTGCAAAAAGAATCTGTGAACCCCACCTCCTTCAAGATGAACTGAACCACCTCAACTGGGCTCTACAGGCCAATGGATATTCCACTTCAGACATCAGAAGAGCTGCAAGACCAAGAACAAGCCACGAGAGTAAAGATGAAGATCCACCCAGAGGAAAAGTGTTCCTGCCATACATCAAGGGAACCACTGACCGCATAGGGAAGCTGATGAGGAAACACAACATACAAACAATCTACAGACCTACTAAGAAAATCCAGCAAATGCTACGTTCAGCAAAGGACAAGAGGGATCCTCTCACCTCTGCAGGAGTCTACCGTGTACCATGCAGCTGTGGACAAGTCTACATAGGGACCACCAAATGCAGCGCCCAAACAAGAATCAAGGAACATGAAAGGCACTGCAGACTACTTCAGCCAGAGAAATCAGCCATAGCAGAGCACCTGATGAACCAACCTGGACACAGCATTTTATTTGAGAACACAAAAATGCTGGACCACTCTCACAACCACCATGTCAGACTACACAGAAAAGCCATTGAAATACACAAACATGTGGACAATTTCAACAGAATGGAGGAAACCATGAAAAGGAACAAAATCTGGCTACCAGTATTAAAAAATTCTAAAATTGCAACAGCATAACAACAGAGAGGAAACAGGAAGGGACATCTAATTACCTCTCAACAAAAGTTTTCTCCAGGCACAGTCAGCCCATTGTATGCTAATCAAGGTGGTCAGTTGAAACATTCACACCTAGCTCCAGCAGACAAGAGTCCTTTGTCTCACCCTGGTCATTCCACAGATATATAAACCCCTTTCCCAGTTCCAACAGACCTCACCTCTGAGGATGCTTGCCATAGATGCAGGCGAAACGTCAGGAGAAATGCCTCTAGAACATGGCCATATAGCCCGAAAAAACCCACAAGAACTTAATATCCAAAAGCCAAGAGATCCCCTGCCCATAGCATCTTATATTACTCTCATTTCCTTCCATGAGATCCTATTGTTCTGCCCCAAATTCCATAGGATACAAGAGACAGTGCTCCAGGTTAAAACCATTGCTTTCCATGGGATCCTGTTTTCCTGCATCAAACCCCATAGAATATAAGAGACTGCTGATGGTTGGGCAATGAAACAGAATGGGATTTTTTTGATGGTTACCATCCCACCTGTTTTTCAGTTGTAAACATGGGAGAAAAGTGCAGTAAGAGGTAGGAGCTCTGAACACAATTGCTGACCCATGTTCAGAGTTCCCTCTCGCATGAGCTCTCGCATTCATAGGTTACAATCTGGAATACCATTGTTTTAACTATGCAGATCTTTGTTGCCATTTTATCGAGATTGGTCATTGCTCTCCTCCCAAGCAGTAAACGTCTTCTGTTTTCCTGGCTGCAGTCCGCGTCTGCAGTAATATTTGCACCTAGATATATGAAGTCTGTCACTGTCATTCTCCTTCTATTTGTCAGTTATCAATCTGTCTGGTTGCCATAATCTTGATTTTTTTATGTTTAACTTCAACCTAGAGTTTGCACTTTCTTCTTTCACCTTGGTTAGAAGACTCCTCAGCTCTTATTCACTTTGAGCCATCAAAATGGTATTATCTGTATGCAGTTTAATTATCCCTTATCAGGAATTCTGAAATCTGAAATACTCCAAAATTATTCACATGGATGACTGGGGCCTCTTCTACACTGCCACATAATCCTGTACAAAGCTGATAATCTGGATTTTATATGGCAGTGTAGAAGGGGCCTGAGATAGTGATATCTTTGCTTTCTGATAATTTAACATACACATAATTCATGCACAAAGATTATTGAATATTTTGTGTAATTATTTTCAGTCTATCAGTATAAGGTATATATAAAACATGAATGAATATTGTCTTTAGACTTGGGACCAGTATGCAAGATATCTCATTCTGTGTATGCCATTATTCCAAAATCCAGAAAAATCCAAAATACAGAACAGGTCTAGTCCCAAGCATTTTGAAAAAGGGATTCTCATCCTCTACTGCTTTTTGTGTATATTGTATCACTGAATATCTGAATATCTGCCCTGGTTTTCAATAGAAGAGTTATACAAATAATCAAAAGTGTTCTTTTCCCAGCAATAGTGAAAATAACATGGATTGTTTTGAGACTGCATTTTATAATTTCTTAATTTGTAAGGCAGGCCAATCAAGGTTCCTGATATTTACATATTTCTAGTATTTTTGCTGTGTCTTTGATTATCAGCCATGGATTCACAAGACCAGACAAAGAGAGTTAGGTTAAAAGGAGCAACTTTATCTTACCTATTTAAGTGAATTGAACCTGAAAGAGGGAGTAAGGGGAGAAGCAACCTTATGTGGGTCCAGCAGAGAGCAGATGTCTACACTCAACTACGTACTCAGCCTTTTCTTGAGTAAAACACCAGAACACTAAGGACAATCCAATAGTTGGGTGGCTCTGTGACTTGTCACTTACTGGAAGGTACAACCAGAGCACTCCCATGGAAGCTTCAAGATCTTATAAATGAGATCACACACACACACACACCATTCCAGGTTTGCCTCAAGGATAGGCTTTCTTTCCACCTCTTTAGTTAGAGGATCTGCAGAGGTCATTGCACCACCAAAGGGGTGCCAATATGTACACTGAAGTCTTGCATTCTTCTGCCATCTAGCAAATTACAGCCTATTTATTATCACCACCCTAAGCCAATTACCACAGTGTCACACATAAAGAATGGTAGGCAAAACATCTAAAAGGGAGAGAAAATTCATACCTGGTTCTGAAGCAACCAACAAAGCTCATACTGCACTGAAGGATAGAGGTGGTGGTGGAAGATTATGCAAAATGTAGCAGAGAGGGACATAAGGAGGTGGTCATGCCTTAAATAGCTTAACTAACTATACATAATGTGTTCTGATGACATGTTGCCACGTAATGTATGGAAAGGATCCTGATCTCCAATCTTGCAGGACATCAAGCATATTTATACCACACTGAAGCATATTTATACCACACTGCTCCCAATATGTAGTCTATAAGAGGTATATGACAACTAATGAAATAAATAAGGCAGCAGAATATTTATCACAAGGCAACAGACCAGTGAGTAAACAATGGAAATATACTGTAAACAGAAACATGCTTGCTAAGATAGCAAGAAAACATGAGAAACAGCAGCCAGCAAAGCAAATGTCCAAATTGAATTTGTGAACAATACTAAGAAATAGAGCTAGATAGATACAGGTTTCTCCTAATGATTCTGGGCTTTGAAAATAGAGAAGCACGTTGAATTGCACCGGGGGGGAAAACATTTTGGATGACCATATTGGAAATCCTGTCAAAGATATTTACACTTTCTCCGCTTCTTTTCTCAAGTCCATCTTTCATTACTCCCCATTTTAGCCCTCTGACTTGGCATTAACGCAATCACTGCATCTTTAGTACAAGGGAAATCACTTATGAGAGCAGAATAACAAAGCTCATTAAGCTGTTCCAGGTGCTATTATAATAAATAGCTAAACACTGTCAATTTCAATTTTGTCTTCCTCTCCCTGCTCCCTGGCATCTGCAGATACTTCATAGACTGGAAGAGTGATGTGGACAGCTACTTTACGATAGACGGAATGGAAGGAACTATTGCCACAAACGAATTATTGGACAGAGAGAGCACAGCACAGTACAATTTTTCTATAGTTTCAAGTAAACTTAGTAAGTATAGCAGAAAAAAATATGATAAAAGTAGTTATCAAAATTAATTTGATTACTTTATTATTTTAAAAAAACATGTACAACTGCATCTTTGGTCATCTTTGATTATTTATCATTTAGGGGGATGTTCCCATTTTAAAACGTGTATTTGTGACACACTTCATATTAGGAATAGAGCTCATATTTCCAGACATTCGCTCATTGATACCTTTGAAAAATCTATCTGATATTGTAATAAGAAGTTATGCCAACCATAGATGGATGGAACAGAAATTAGAACATGATCCATTAAGAAATATTATTTATCCCTCATTTTTTTAAATATTGGGATGAAATCGAGTTCAATCATCCTATTTGATCATTTTAACTTTCCTCTTTCACCTCTTTTTTCCAAATGAAAAGTCTTTCTGGGAAACAATTGAATAATTCTGTAGACACTTGGTACTGGCATTGAGGAGCCAGAACTCATATGACCTGTTAACCAGCTATAATTATGTCATTTGTTAACACCTTCACAGTTTTTAATCCCGCCTGAATTTAGCGAGTATTTTGAACACATGGTAGATGTCTCCAATCCTTCTATAACGTAGCATATTAGCACTGATTTTAAGTCAAACTTGGCAGTGCTTCCCATGAGAATATTTGGGGAATAATAAGATTTGTCACCAGGAAATACTCACATGGAGGAAAACTGTGGGAGAAGTAGTATATCCATGTAGCTGTTGCCTACAGAGTTGGTGTGAGTTTGATTACTATCACAGAATTTTCAAGATGCTATCATTCATCAAGCCATCATAGCCAAATAAATTACCTTTACTCTATCTGGAGGAAATGCTTCATGAACAAAGACTTTCTACATAAGGTTTGTAGCACAAATCCTGCAATATCCATTTGCACTTCCACAAAGTGTTTGTACAAGTATGAACTGGATTCGATATATATTGTACTGTGTGTTGTGTGTGTGTTACCCATTTGAAACAGACTATGTTTTATGAAATTCAGGGCAAATTTTCTCCAGCATAAACACTGATTTCCTGGAATGGGGAAATGTCAAAAAACATCTTCCCATTCCTAATCATAAGTGTCTACCACCAGCTGGACTCCTGTCAGTACTCAGAAATAACAAATGAAACAGGACTTTGCCACTTTGCATGAAGAATCAGCAAAGGTCAACAGCAGGTGTCTGCTATATCAGCTGTGTGTGTCTCATCCCTGAAGCACTCTGACAGTTGTTTTCCAAAGAGCATCTGTGGCTTTGAGATGGGGCAGTATTTAAAATCAATAATGATGCTTATCTTGCTGCTCTCAAAGCAAATAATCTTTAACAGAAGTGATTTGAGATCCTGTTCAAGTCTCAGGAGATCAAGTTGTTTTTCTGCTGCTACTATAAATGGTGTGCAATTTGTGCTGATAAAGACTGTGTGGGAATATATAATGGAAATGAAACCACAAAGAAATGATTAATTTCTCTTCATCATAATGTTGTCAGTTATGTCCAGTATTCAACAATCAGTGTTATCATTTTAATAGTAAACCATGCTGAGAATATTCTGTATATATTTTTAAAGAGTTCTTTCATCCAAAGTCCTGCACTCTGTAAACTATCCTACAGATTTTATTGAGCAGCATATTTTATGGGTTATTATGATAGTGATTATTTAGTTTATGATGAAATAAAACAAAGATTTGACTAGCTGTACAAATTGCTACCATTAATAGTTTGCTTGTTTGTTTACAAAATTGAGTCAAAATACCAGTGTTCTGAAAAAAAAAGTTGCTGTTCTGTTCCAAATCCTTATAAAAATAATGGAGACTAAATGCAAAATATTGACCAGTTCATAATTATATAGCAAAAAATAATTAAAATAGAATAAAACAAAAATAGAGATATCAACTATTTGTTAAGGAGATGCCAAAGATGGTTAACAAATTATTTCCAAACCTTACTATGGTTCTCAGATAACTGATTTGGGACATTTGGATTCAAGAACAGAAAGGGAAGCAGCTGTTTTTATTATATTCTTGATTTTGTATAATAATCTAAGTTTAGGTATAATGAAGGTAAAGGTTTCCCCTTACATTAAGTCTAGTCATGTCTGACTCTGGGGGATGGTACTCATTTCCATTTCTAAGCCAAAGAGCCAGCATTGTCTATGGACACTTCCAAGGTCATGTCACCAGCATGACTGCAAGGAGTGCCGTTACCTTTCTGCCAGAGCGATACCTATTGATCTACTACATTTGCATGTTTTCAAACTGCTAGATTGACAGAAGCTGGGCCTAACAGCGGGAGCTCACCCCACTCCCCAGATTCGAACCACCAACGTTTTAGTCAGCAAGTTCAACAGCTCTGTGGTGTAGCCCACTGTACTACCAGGGGGCCCATTAGGTATAATGGAAATGACAAAAAAAATCCACCCACATAAAAACTTCCATGTCAAGAAATTTAGTTATGATTTCTTTTTGACAAGTCCATTTTCTATGTGGAAACTGTTTTTTGTAAGAATGAGTATTCATTCATTTATGTCCCACTGGTCTGGAATAGTACAACTCAAATCATACAAATGTTACAGGTTTCAAACCGAGCATGAAATTGTGTCTTGTCAACATAGATTCCGAGTATGCAGAATGTAAGCATGATAAGATGAGCCAAGTTGATGACATGCATTCCTATGTTTGTGAAAAATTGAATATTAGTTAACTGACAGGGCTGGTGGTAAATTTAGGTGCTTCACGTGTATACAAGTACAGGCAGTCCCAGAGTTACAAACATCCAAGTTAGAAATGAATCATAGTTAAGAATGGGGTAAGACAACAGAAAGTGGAAAAAAACCCAACCTAACCCTCAGAAAGGAAATTCACTCCTGAAAGAGTTATCATGGAGAAAAGGTGTCTCAACTGAAGCTTTCTTAACAATCCTTGTTTCCACAACAAGCCAATATATATTTTTGACTGGAGTTACACTAAAAATGTACCTGTTCGAACTTACAAACAAATTAAACTTAATAACAAACCTACAGAACCCATCTTGTTTTTGACTTGGGGACTGTCTGTATGGTAGTCAACACAGAATCAAAGGGTGTGCTTACACATAGGAATTTGAATATCATAACTGTTTTTCCACAACCTGTCTATCATCCTTGAGGTATTGAGGTTCAGCTAAAGTGCTGGATCTTACATATGAATATACCCAAAATATGGAGTTGTGTCCTAGCCTATTCTTCATATAAAATGTGAGTCACATGTGACTCCCCCACATGTTCTAGGATTGTATCTCTTTTGGCCCTCACTAACCAATGATGTCTGAGGATGTGAGTTGTAGTCCAACCATATTCATAGGGGTAACCCATCCCTGCTCTTTATCAGAGACACAGTATTTTACAAGAGGTATATATCAGATTGTTATAAAAGAATATGTCAAGAAAGATTGGTTGTGATGCCCTTCATTGCTTTGTGCCTTATATATAATGGTGCCTGTGATTCTGCTACTATTTCATAACTTCTTTTTTATTTATTTTCCTTCTACCAGGCAATCCACTATTAACCAGCAAGGTCAATGTCATCATCAACGTCTTAGATGTCAATGAATTTCCTCCAGAAATTGCGGTGCCCTATGAATCTTATGTGTGTGAAAATGCTAGACCAGGACAGGTACATCATTTTTTCTCTGTAATGTATTAGATGTGTTTTCAGTCATAGGAACATGACATCAAGTACAAAGACTAACAATGAAGAAAAGACAATTTAAGAATAGTTCTCTCTATAGCTATGGTATATTTAAATCATGTTTTTGATTTGTCAAGTAACATAAAGACTGAGGAATATGTGATTCTCCAGATATCACTGAAATGCAACTCCTAAAAAACCTTGCCATTCTAAGCAGTGATAGGAGAAGATGTGATTTTCAATTCAGTTATATCTGGAGGGCCATATGTTCCCCATCCAGATTTTAAAAAGAAATAAGTGTTCAAGGTAATTTATGTAAAAACAGGGCTTATAACAATACATAAAGGTAAGTTTGACTCTATCTGCTGGAAGCTGAGGCTGGTACAATAATCATAAAATTAAGGTTCAGTGGTGAGTTTCTTGCCAAGAAAATCAAGGAATTGCTACATGACTTATGTATTTGTGTAATGTGCATGCATATTATTTATTAGCATTCTTTACAAATCACTTTTCTGTCTATGAAGGCCCTTAAAGCTATGTACAACTTTAAATCAGATTTTTTTAAAAAAGAAAGTAATATCACAACAGCAAAGCTAAAGGAGTAATGGAGAATCTCAGAAAACAACCCCAAAAGTCCAGTGAAATAGAGCATTTTTTACTTCCTACCTAAAACTTGTGGATGATGGAGTCAGCTTGATATGTCTCCATAATTGTGGTGCTGCTACTAAAAAGAAATAAAACAAATAGCCCGAAAAAACCCACAAGAACTGAGAAAACAAATACCTTCCCCACCCATCTTTTATGTCATAAATCTAGGGCATATCTATACAGACACTTAACCCCAAAGAGGCAGCAGATTCCTCCCTCCCTCTCTCCTTCCTACTTCCCTATCATTTCAGATTCTTGGCTAATATTATGCCTGTTGCCAAGAACTACCATTTATTTTGAGGCTGGTGGTCCTCCCTTTGACAAGGTCTGCCTTTCTTCAGTGCTTCTAATACTTGACAGCTGTCATTTACTCTTGAATTCAAGTTGTCTCTTTTGTAGGAAGTCTATCCCTTTTTGTGCATTCTCTTTTCAGTGCTGTTGGACAGTTAGGACACTTACTATCTCCATAATGGTCTGGTGTCTAGCAATAAGGTCCATCCTAGAACTGGAGTTCAACACTCCAAATTGGACCAGGGATATTGTATCCATGTGAACCACCCCAGCCTCTCCTTATCATGAAATGTGCAAAATGGCATCTGATGAAGACAATAAATTAAGGTCATGTTCATAAAATACAGAAGGAGGCAGTATTCAAGACTTCTAGCCACAAACCATTAGATCTTTCTAGTGAAATATTATATATATAAGCCCTCCCTGCATCCAGATAATACAGAAGGAAGCAGTAATTCAGACTTCCTCGGCAAAACCACTTAGGCTTTATAGATCAAAAGCATCACATATATTCCCTCTCGGCACCCAGACAATGGTTAATAGTGGCAGCAGGTTGACAGGGACAATAGTAGCTATGCATCGTCAGCATAGTGATAATACCGACAGGCAAGACTCCAGTGGTCTTGTGTAGACAAATGATAGGGGACTTTTGGTTTGAAGGGCTTATTCACATGAAACATTCACCAGGTGATGCTGTGAGGTAGCAGCAATCTGCATTTTGGATGCATATATTGAAAAATGAACCCTAAAAACAGAAACATCAGAAACAAACAAAGATCATCCTCATTTTTTGGAAACATTCAATCAAATAAAGTTAGCATCACTACAAAATTGTTTCCCCAAGACCCTATAACTCATACGTCCCCAAATAATTCACTGATAAGCTCTAAGAGATGTGTATATTTGCAAATATTTTGATCTTCAACAAGAAAGGCTGTGTTGAAACAAAATGTCATACATTGAGACATGCCCCCTTCTGTTCAAGGGAGCATGCCTCTGCATCCTCTCACCCTGTGTTTGTTGGGCTTTATGCAAAAACATTGCATTTTTCCAAAAAATATATTGGATGGGCTGTTAATTAGCTAGAGGGATGCAATGGAGGTTGGATCTACACTGCCCTATATCCTAGGATCTGATCCCAGATTATCTTCTTATCCCAGATTTTCTGTCAGTATAGACTCATATAATCCAGTTCAAATCAGACAATCCAGATTATTTACTTTGATAATCTGGAATTTATAGCAGTGTAGATCAAGCCCCAGTCACATATTCTTAGCCTCAGAAGGTTATGTAAACCTGCTTGAAAGTGAAAAAATGGAAGTATGTCATCTACAATGTTATAATATAAAGGCTAGATGTGGTGGCATAAATTCCTCCCTGCTCAGGCCTCCTCTACAGTGCCATATAAAATCCAGATTATCTGCTTTGAACTGGATTATATGATAGTGTAAATTCACATAATCCAGTTCAAAGCAGATAATGTAGATTATCCACTTTGATAATCTGCATTATATGGCAGTGAAGAAGGGGACCTAGGAACTAATCTAGTGGTTGGTTCATTTTTTTACCTATTGACTGTAACCTTTAGGGTGTTTAGTTGAGGGAGTGTAACCTCATAAAATGTTGGAGGAGCAATATTACATGATTCAAGTGGCCAATGCAAAATACTCAAATGTTTAAAATATACAAATGGTGGCTTTTAATGTTTTGTAGAAATACAAGAGATTTTGATTTTTTTTATGATAGCAATGGGTGCTAAACTATAAGGAATGAGATTTTGTCCTCCTGCTAGGGGATTAAAGAGATTTGCCTCCTTCTTGAATGGAGGCTATAAAGTAGTTTGAGCTGGAACTACTTTAAGGGGGCAGGGCTGAAACAAAGCAACAGTCAGCCCCCCCCCCTCTTTTTTTCCCAAAGATCGTTGACCCACCATGCCCGTTCATTAACAATAAAATTTATTGGTTCCCTTATGGGACTGGTAGGGATTTTTTTTCCTCCTATGTTCTAGGATGGCTTTTCACCTACCCTTACTGTTATGAGGGGCAAAATGGGATGGTGTGGTCTTAAATAGGCCACAACAGAAAACAGCTAAGGGAACTTACAATTTGGTGTCCACCCAAGGCATTCCCCTGTGGGGTGAAGGCCATGAACTTAAAAACTCACCTATTGTTCATTTAGACGAGGTGAGGTAAAACCAAATGGCCTAGGAATGGGGAGAGTCTGGCTTCAACAGCCTTGGGGGAGACTTCTCCAGCATGTTGCCCAGGTTAAATCAACAAAGGGACCCAGGTGTTTCACTGCAGTAAGCCAAAGGTAGGCCAGGCAGGGACACTACCTTGACTTTATCCACACCAAGTTCATGACACCCTTAGAAATAGATAAAGATAAATCTTTATGCAGTAATAGTTAATATAGAAGTTGCCCATATTTTCAACCCATAACTATTGTGTGGTCTCTTTATTTCGAGGGTTGGCAGGCAATTATTTTTTATAAGTAAGTTTCCAAACTATGGGATGTAAGCTGCCTTTGGACTTGCTTGGTAAATAGTCATTTAAGCTTGTTTTAGGCAACTGCAATTTTGTCTAGTGGCTTCTTTAATGGATAGGAAGTGATTGTACCGCAAATTAACTGTGGCTCTCCAAAAGATGTATTCAGCCATCATATAGCTGGCCTTCAGGTGTCTATAGAAGTTAGGCAATATAATCACAAGTTTCTTACCTGGGAACAAAACTCATAAAAGACAGCAATTTCCTTGCCAGGATGGAAGAAATAGCAGATTGAAACATAAACCCAAACTATATTATAGGAGTAAATTCTGTTAACTCTCGCTGCCTTCTAGAACATGTTGTTCCACCTTCTCATTAAAAGTTACCCTAAACTCTACTTCTTTTTGAGTTGCTTCTCAATAGTAACAAAAGCAACAAAATCTGTCCTGTTATGTTGCATTACATAGTGCTGTTTTATAAGCTTTGCAAAATCAAATAGAGAGTTTGAAGCCCTCAGGTTATAACAATTTTTTTCTTGCTGTATTCTAAACTATTGCCCAAAGGAGATGAAACTTGCAGCCTCAACAGTTCTGCACTTGAATTACTATACCTGTGGAACAAAACTATGTCTTTGATCTCCTTTCTACAAACACAAGTGGAGTTCTAAATAATTTTCTGTGGAAGCTGCTTATACAGTACAACATTTGGCCCTTTTCCAGCATTTGTATCTTTGGACACACAATATATGGGTCTGCTACAGCAGCATCCTGAAATGGCAAAAATGTTGACAGTCACGGGCTAATGCGAACAGTCTTGAATGCATATGTTGAAGGGGACTGGCATATTTGCCACTCCATCTTTGTTTTGCTCTGAGGAACAAGATAATGTCTGTGGGCCCGTCCAGAAAGTAGTTTTATAGCAGTAGATCCCACAATAAAGGAGGGGCTGTCCAGACAATGTTCTGGACAGTCCTGAATCAATTTGCTATAAACCAGGAAAACCCTGGTTTGTAGTGAATTAATTTGATAGTGGATTTATTCCACACCTTCTTGGAAGGTGCGGGATAAATCCACTATTTCCGGTTCTATTCTGCAGTCTTATTTAGCCTTATTTATTGAGCTAAATATGGGGACTGGGGTCTTAGGGGGGCCTCCAGACATTCTCTTGGGCTAGTCCCGAGAGAACGTCTGGACACCCACCCCAGAAAGCATGCGCTTTCTGGGGTGGATGTGGACAGGCCCCCAGGAAAATCTGTGTTTTTAAAACGTGGAATTTCCCGGAATAAAGGCCTGTCTGGATCCACCCTGTGTCATGTTATGAAGTTAACTCAAGGCTGAGGATGTTACAACTCTTGCTGCTTGACCATCCTTCAAGGCTGGTGACAGATACAGAGCTGTAATTGTACTTCTAATTGTAATTTGAACTAGAGTAGATTGGTGAATCAGATCTCATAAAATGGGCAGGGGAAAAGTCAGGGAAAGTGGAGTGAACTTTCATTCCCTACTGTCTTACCCTGTCTTCTGAAATGGCCTCCCATATCATGTTTTTTCCTGTATTTTCCCACTCCCTCTTCATGTTTCCCCAACTCCTCAAAAAGCACTCTGAGTTTGGTTTCTCTACACTACTGAAATGCAGCTCCACAGAGTCCCCAGGAATTTGATTGCATCATGTGATGAACTCCATGGGATTCCGTTTCAGCAGTGTAGTTCAATGGCGATAAGATGCAGAAAAGACTACATCTGATAAGGTTGTCAGTCAAAGTTACAAAAGTGATAAGTTGCCATTGTCTCAGGGGATCTATTTCCATTTGAATTAGCTATTGGATTTAGGTCTTGCAGTTGAAAATTGGTTATCTGTCTTTTGCTTCTAATAACAAACCAGAACTTCATAGGTACTTTTGAGCTGGCAGTTGGCCATGCATATTAGATACATTAAAATTTGTTACATTTCGAGAATATCTAAGATATAGAGTTCATAGCTGAGTCAGTAGGGTCTCCCAATATAGCATTACTAATCCTAGAAGTTCTGACATCTGACCATTTGAAATTACTTGACCACGGGCTGGTCACCAGTGAACTAACTAAAGTTAAAATTCTTGCATCTAGTAGCTATACATGTCTCAAAACCTCTATTCCTTTCATTATGGGTTTATCAGATTTGGAAGAGAAGTTAGATTTTATTTTTCAATTCAAAGACCTAAAAAAGTCATCCAGATATATTTTTGACATTGCAGATAGACAAAGATCTAAAGCTGTGGACTGTTACCACTTGTAGTTAGTATGTACATATTTACATTTGAAACTAAAATGCAACTTTCTGTTATGGAATAAAGAAGCAAAGTCTCAATAGTCATGGAGGATGCCATACCCAGTCTTGTTATAACTCACCATTGTCTACTTCTGCTGTGTTGTTCTGTGATAAAATTAAGGTTTTTCCCCCCCTTTTCAATTGGAAATCTATGGTTTCCTTTTATTTCCACTGTTCTTTTAGGTAATCCAGGTTGTTGGTGCTGCAGACAAAGATTTGTCACCTGCTGGGCAAAAATTCTCTTTTCGACTGTCACCTGAGGTTTCTACAAAGCCAAATTTCACAGTCCATGATTTCAGAAGTAAGATTGCTTTTTATCTTTCTACTTCAGATAATATTGCTGCCAATTATTTTGTTCTATTATTCTCATGCCTGAGGCTTTTGACCACATTGGTGAAAATAAGTTGTTTCAGTATGTAATTGTTTCTTAGACACTGGACAAGAAAGAAAAGACCTGCATTTTAAGGGAAAGGAAATGCAAGGGATAACTAATTTATACATTAGGAAATGTTAGGATTCTACAGTGATGGATCCAAAGATATAAAGGAGCCCTCCAATTCAAGGGAGGACAGAAACAATGCAACTAAATATGTTCCTACCAAAATATACACCTTTGATTTTAGGGAATTTCCCTAATTATTCAAAGTAGCTTTCTAAACATTGGCTGAGTGTGTGAATTTACTTAATGTCTTGGAGGGTTGAGATGTAGAAGAAGATCATACAATGACTGGTCAGTAGAGCTGGCCCTACCATTAGGAAAAAGGGAGGCAGCTATTTCAAGCAACAAATTTAGGCTGTTGTGAACGAATGCAAATTCTACATTTAGCCCCCAAGTGTGAGATAGGAGATTCTTGGCTTAGCAGGGCTGCATGTGAAAAAGACCTTGTTATTATTTTGATCAGAAATTGAACATGACACAATAGTATAACAGTGCAGCAAAATGCAAATATTATATTATTCTGCATTAATAAAGCCATAGTTCCCAATCATAAAAAGTAGTATTCCAGTTATGTGCTGACATGGACAGGTTGGAGTGGTTTCAGAGAAGGCCAACCAAAATGATAGGAGGTATAGAGAACCAAACATATGAGGAAAGCTTGAAGGAGCTGGACATGTTCAGTTTTATGAAGAGAAGACTGTGGAAGTGACATATTGTAATAGAATTTTAATTACCTAAAAGGCTGCCAGAGAGAGGAATGTATTCTCTGCTACTCCAGATAATAATGGTTTTAAGTTATGGAGCATTTTAGAAAGGACTTTTTGACCGTATGAGTTCTTTGATGTTGGATTCATTTATGTAGAAAAGTAATGAGGGCTCAATCATCTTCAAAAAGAAGTTGGACAGTTACCTGTTGGAAATGTTCTTGCTGAAGATCTCACACAGGATAGAGGGGTGGATTTGATGTCCTTTGGGGATCCTTCCCAAATTTGTTAATCTATAAATGTTGAAAGGATTTCCATTAAAATCATTACCCTAACATTTATAGTTTGCAGTATGGTATGGATGTGTGTGTCTGTGTGATGGGGAGTAAATTCTTATTCCTCTTGGACAATAATATTACTTTAACCAGACATGATAATTAGAGTCCTGCAGTTCATTTGTATATATTTTTACTAGAGAGATAAAGTCATTTTTTTTGTTTCACTTTGTGAAACTTGTCTTGTAGGGACAGTCATTCAGAAAAGAAAATTGAGTCTTTTCCACAGAAAAAAGAAAGTGGTCCTGCAAACAGAGCAGGCAACTGTCATGTGTGACATTCCTGTTTGAATGTGGCACTGCTTTGCAGCACTTAGAGTTGTAAAGAGAACAATGCAATGTTATATTATGGTCTGCATTATAGTCTCCAATGAATACAGCTCAGCTGGGTTCATATTGGAATTTGAAAATTTCAAATTCTTGTCAAATTGGTACAGGATCACCTCTTTACTACAGTAGTAGGTTGTTAAGCACCAGGACAGGCCAATACACTGCATAATCAGATTGTGTTTAGCTTACTTGATATGTGATATGTGTTTGCAATAGAGCCAGCCCTCTACTTTTCCTGGGGTTAAGGGCACAACATTCTTGCAAAAGTGAAAAACTTCAAATAAATATGTCAGTTTTAACCTCAGAGAATACTTCTCTTGGAATCCTTACATCCTCTAGAAGAGTGGTTCTCAACCTATGGGTCCCTAGGTGTTTTGGCCTACAACTCCCAGAAATCCCAGTTTACCAGCCATTGGGATTTCTAGGAATTGAAGGCCAAAACATCTGGGGACTCACAAGTTGAGTACCACTGCTCTAGAATGACTCTATGGTGAGCTTCCACCGGAAATTCACATACAATTACAGCAGGAAACCTCAACATTTCTAAAGAGTTGTTCCCTTTAGGAATCTCTAGGTCTTCCAACATGAATCTATGATCAACATCACAAAGAAGCTGGTCATAGAGTTGCACTGGAGAACCTAGAGATTTCTAAAGATAATATTTTAATAAAATGTGGAGAACCAACTGTTCAGTGCAGGCAGTCCCCGAGTTACAAGCATCCGACTTACAAACAACTCAGAGTTACAACTGGGGGTGAGACAACAGGAAGTGTGTTAGACTTGAGGTGAGAGAAAATGTTTCAAATCTAATTACTAAATTAGGAGGGAAGGGCAGAGATTAATTTCTAAAATGCTTTAAAAATATCCTCAGGGGTCCATGTCATAACTATTATGAAGTAATGAATTTTTTTGTTATTATTTTCTTTAGTAATTGCACTCATGGGAAAACTTCCAGGGCTTCTTTCTCCTTTGTTTTTAGAGCTATTGGGATGAATCATGCTACAATTGTAAGCCCCCAGGTTTCAGAACTTTTACTCATCCACTAATTTTGGGGATTTTTCAAAAGTTTTACAGACATTTTTTTAAAAAAAACCTACATGAGCTGTCTCCTTGAATTTCTTTACATTGACACAACATATCTAAAGCATCACTCCTCCCCAAGTTTAAGAATAATTATCACATCTATTGATTTTTTGGGAAATTTTTAATTTTTTGTCAATTTTTAAAGTCACAACAGCTATGCTTTACTATTTCTGGAACTTGACTTGGAGTAGACCCCCAAAGTGGTAAAATAAAGCACTCCTCTTTCCAGATTCAATTTAGTCTGGGAAAAAAATGTGCTAAGAAGAATTGACTGTCAATAGGTCAGCTAGCCTCTCTCTTTCTCTCTACCTCAATCTATCTAAACAGTGATCTGACAGCTATTGCTATGGATGCTCTCTCTCCCTCTCTCAGTCCCTAGCATCCCTCCCTCTCCCAGCTCCCCTAGCACAATGGCACAGGCAACAAGACTATCTTGAATTTAAGGAGGAATTGCTGGGGTTCTGCCTCCTCTCTTTACCCCCCCTCCCCCTCAGCCCTGATAGGCTTATATGCATAGTACAAGTTTTACTTTGCCTCCTAGTATATTGCACTGAAAAAGATAGCGACTCATTGAGAGATACGACACTTCCATATCTTTTATGAAAAAATGTAGGCTCCCTTTTTTGTAACTTGGGATTGCCTGTACTACTGTCTGCTGAAATCCTATTCAAAATCCCTTTATTATTAGTTCCCTGGGTGATCAAGTTACCTTGTGAAGGAGAATGCACTTTTGTTATAAATCCAGGAGGAAACTATGCTGGTAAATCAAGAACCCAACATTATTTGGAAAAGCAATCTTTTCTGCCCCACCCCAGCACTGCCGCAGATCAAAATTTGCACAAAACGAGAGCTCCAGGTTCAGGTTTAGTATCCAGAGTCTAATATAAAGACCTCGTCACACTGAAGTCTGAATCTGTAGGGCAGTGGTGGGATTCATTATGCAGTGTGGTGAATCCATGTAGCAGCGGGGAAAACCATTGCCCTGCATCCCGCATTGCCTGCTGCATCCCTTACCTTATCCCATGGGGGGAAACATTGCTGCCTGGCTGCCCCTGTTCTTCCCTATGAGAATACGGGAAGCCTCCTCTGTTCTCAGAAAAGCATTCTAACATGCTGCCAGGATGCCTCCACTACAGAGTCCCATCAGTAGTTGCCTCACATCGTGTGATTGCATCTATAGGGCTTCCAGGATGTCAGGCAAGCATCCTGGAAACATGCTAGGATGCTTCCCAACCTATGTGTGATGAAGTGGTTTCTCACCTTACATTGTGCATATACCGCAATAACTTTCAATTCAACTAACATTCCTGACCTGATTCTTTCCCATGCTAGCTTTCAAAACTGATTTGCACAGCCATCTTCCACAATTCTTAGCAGAAGGGTTTGACTGTAGAATTAGTGCAGCTTGAATCTATGTTAATTTCCATGACTCAAAGCTATGAAATCATGGGTGTTGTAATTTTAGAAGGCCTTTAACCTTCTTTGCCAAAGGATGCAGGTGCCTTACTAAACTTCAATTCACAGCATTGATCCATGGCAATTAAAGTGATATAAAGCACTAATTTTGCAGTGTGCATGCACCCTGTGACAGGGAGAAAGATGCATGCTGGGTATAAAAATATCAGGTTGACTTATTCTTCTTGATGAAAACTCCCAAGGAATACAATTCTTTTACAAATGTAAGCATTTTCCTATGTTAGTTCAAGTAAAGCCAAATGATTGCCTTCTCTATATTTATCTGCCTACAAACATCCTTGAATGTTAGTCCTAAGGGAAAAAAAAACCTTGAAATCTTATCTTTTTAAAAGTAGTTCATTATGGAAATGACTTCAAGGCCACCTCACAAAAAAGGTAACTTGGTGCCATTAACATTACAACAACAAATAATCCATCTTTTTTAAAACAAAAATTAAAGTTTTAAAATGGCCTCATTTTTTCAAAAACAATCAAAACCTTTGAAATGCCCAAAGAGCATTTTTGTCCCAAAAAGTACCAAGAAAAAGTTATGAGTAAACATTATTCAGTGCATGAAGAAGATAATCTCCTTATCAGTCAACAGATTAAATTAAAAAAAAAATGAAACATGTTGATGTCCTTATTACATCCAGCACAACTTAAAAAAACATTTGTCCATGTAGCATCAATTTTATCTGCCTGATCTGAGATAGCAAAACTCTAAAATCACAATCAAACATCTTGTTCTAATTTTCATGATAAATCTTGCAGCCATTCTACCTACAGCATTGGGGGGAAATGAGCAACTTCTTATCTCTTGTTTTTGAAAACACATATCAGTTATTTTTCGCTACCATTAGGTCATTATCGTTACTGTAACTTTCACATTTGGCTACTAAATTCCCCCCCCCTCTGCCCACTCCTTATAACTTTTTAATTTTTTGTATGTGTTTTAGTTTACAAAGCAGAGGGCAGATACAATATTTGGAATTAAATGATCAATGGGGCAGCCTGGGAATCTTTTTCAGATGAATAGCTGTGAGGGAAAAAAAACCCTTCAAATCTATAAAATGTAAAGGTTTATTTGAATTGCACAATGAATGCAACACCCTACAACCACCATAATCTACAAATGTTATAATCCAACTGCTGGTATTAGTAACATGGAACTGAATAGCTAATTTAAGAAAATTAAACTTCCTAAATCCACTCTGAATTGAACATATTCCTTTCAAATAGGGTAAAAATAGCTTTTGTGCTAGCAGATACTGCACTAGGCTAATGTATGATGCTGTAATATCAACCCAGGGGCCTTCCCCTAAAAATAAAACTTGTCTTCAGATACTCCGCAACTGATAGCTCCAATGGGAAATGAACCTATCTGCAAGGAAACAGGATATGTCACTTCATCTCTCAGATTTCTTTTGCAGCTGCATTCAAAGACGGAAGAGGTTTTTTAAGCATCCAGTTGAGAAAGCCATGTAATGTTGTGGGAGATGCTGTGAACTAGAGAGCGTTGTTGAGATAATAAAGCAGCAGAGAGCACCGCAGGCAATCCCAATCAGAGCTGCTAGCAAATTGGTTTCTAATCTCACTTCCTGCTTAATCCCTTCAATCTTTACATCAGTTTTCTTCCTCATTCGGTTTCTTTGATTCAAAGAAAAGCAGTGATAACCCAGTTCCTACTGGGGAAAATGGCAAAATGCCTCTCATAGAAGCCTGCACTTGCCTTAATCAGAGATTACTAGTGAATGTACTAATGGCATGAAGTGCCTAGTTTGATTTCTGGTGGGAGTTTTCTTCTGAACAGGTGCAGGGTTGCAGAAGATTTCCTACCTTTTGAAAAGGGTCTCTGGTGATAACTGGCAAAACAAGAAAGCCACACTTCCCTTCCTGCTGAACAAGAATTGCAGCAGCTGAAGGGCATCCAAGCAGACTTAAGGAAAAAGCAGGAGACAAGTGATATGGAAGAGATAACATCCCCTGTGAATGTGATCCTTCTTGTTTTTCTAGCCCTGTCCTTTTCAGCTCTGACAGGCTTGCTGACAAACCGATTTTGCTTGTAGCACAAGAGTCCCAATAATCACAATTTGTCCAAAGAAGAAGGGGAGGATCTCATTAGCTTATAGCCAATTTGAGCTTGACATTTCCCCCTCAAGTTTTTTTTCCTTTTGTTTGTTTGGTAACATTAGAACAAAGAAATTGTCTTATTGCTTCTGGAATCTGACATAGGTCAGGATTTCATTGGTAAGGAACATATGAGGCTGGCTCTTGAAACAGCACTATATGTTTTCTCTCTCTCTGCCTTATAGTGTGCAGCAGGACTGGTCCTGCCCTGAGGAAATAACATCAAAGTGTTGAAAGCCAGAAGTTGATAGATAAAATTGTTTGTAGTCAACATGTTCTGTCCTCAGGAGTGGTGTTGTCCTATTGTCAATGCTGGAGAAAGACTCAACTCCCAGGAGTGGCAGCTGCTGACTCCAGTGTCTTTGGGGATGTGCATGCACTCTGGATGATAATTCATATTAAAAGTTATTATCCTTAAGGATAGGATACAATAAAGTCCTTTAAGGTATAGATTAAAACCTGATTGTATTAATGACAATGCCTTGTATACGTGAAATAATGTGGAGTTGTCTGTTTTCTTCCTTGGAGCAACAAAATGTCTTGAACAGTCTGAAATGGCTAGTAATACACAATGAATTGTGTTATTTGACCACCCCACTCCACCTTATTAGCTTTTGCTTGTGGGAACATAGACATTCCCCAGATGATAAAGGCACACATTTTTCCTGACTGGATATTACTGAGGGAACATGAACATGATGAAGGGTATTCCCTGAGCCAAACCATCTAGGTTCAGCCATTTTTCCTAGCATATTACAACTTTCACCATTTTAAAATCATAAAGCTAAGAACTCAGGAGAAAGTCATTGTTTTTGTCCTAAATGTTCTTTATTTCCCCTAGACAATACAGCTGGGATTATAGCCAGAAGAAGTGGATATAGCCGTCGGCAACAAGAGCTGTATTTTCTTCCAGTTGTGATAGAAGACAGCAGTTATCCAATACAAAGTAGTACAAACACAATGACAATCCGTGTTTGCAGATGTGATTCTGATGGTACCATCCTCTCTTGCAATGTTGAAGCCATCTTCCTGCCTGTTGGACTCAGCACAGGAGCCTTGATAGCAATCCTGTTGTGCATTGTTATACTTCTAGGTTAGTGCATCTCTTCTTGCATAAAACAAATCTAAGTTTCACAATAAGATGAGCCTCTACAATGTGACATGTAACAGAAAGGGATATATGATCATTACAAGAGATAAGTGAACAGATGGCAGTTGATATGATGTGCACAACCCCACAAGTTTTGTCAATGACAGCTCCTATAAACTAAGCATAGCCAGATAAAATAGATCCAGGCCATGCCTATGTTGGCCAGAAAATGTGGAATTACTTTCCAGCTTCTGCAGGAAGTCCATACAACACATGGCTGGATTCACAGCAGAAATGTCACATCCAGCCATTTCTCCAGCTCGAGGGAGTAATCCCAGAGTTTTGGAGGTGTGGAAACACTACTGTGGTGCTGCAGAGGACAATCAGCTCCTTTTCAAAGGCTTGCTGGCAAAGTCGCTTCTAGTGAGGTCATAACAGGGCACTCACTCATGTTACTAGGAAAAGTAACATCACCAACAAATCTATGAGGGAGCAGGTTGTGATTGGCAATATGGTATGGTAGCTCCAATGTGCACTTGGATTAACTGACTTGCTGAACACTAAAATGGCTCTTGATATCCTCCTGAGCTGCATTGGGGAGGTTCTAGTGTGAAACACCTAGAGTAAGACACAGCCTGGGACATTATTAATGTAACCCAGAGAACCTTGGATTATTTATTTATTTATTTATCAATTTTATATACCACCACTCGCCGAAGGCTCGGAGCAGTTCACAATATATACATAACATTAAATTCAAGGAAAAATTCAATCAGCAAGGTTCAAATGCCAGCCTAAATAAATAAGTTTTACAAGCTCTACGAAAGGATAGTAAATCTCTGAGAGCTCGTGTCCCCACTAGCAAGGCATTTCATAGGTAAGGAGTCACCACCGTAAATGCTCTATGCCTAGTAGACATCAGGTGAAAGGTCCTAAAATTGGGAACTTCAAGTAAATTCTGGTCGTCTGAACAGAGTGATCTCTGGGGTTTGTAGGGGATGAGGGGGTCCCTCAGGTATTCCGGCTCCAAACCATATAAGGCCTTGAAGGTAAGAATCAGCACTTTGAAGGTAATCCAATACTCAATCGGCAACCAGTGCAGTTACTGCAGGATTGGAGTGATATGACACCTCGCTGAGACCCCTGAGAGAAGCCTGGCAGCAGCATTTTGCACTAGTTTAAGTTTCTGGATCCCCGATAAAGGCAGGCCTATGTAGAGGGCATTACAATAGTCCAATCTTGAGATGACTGTAGCCTGAATCACCATGGCCAGGTTGTCCCTTGACAGATAGGGAGCCAGTCGCCTAGCCTGACGCATATGGGAAAATGCAGCTCTGCTCACAGCGGAGGCCTGGGCCTCCATCGTCAGCATAGGGTCTCCCAGACTCTTTACTCCCAGACTCTTTACCAAAGATGATGGGCATAATGTCACGCCATCAAGGGCAGGCAACTGGATCATCCCTCCGTCCGGATGACCCAGCCAAAAAATCTCTGTCTTCGCTGGATTCACCCTCAACCTGCTGGCATGCAACCATCCGGTAATGGCCTCAAGGCATTGATGGAAATTATCGGGTATGGAGTCTGGTTGGCCTTCCATCCTCAGAATGAGTTGAGTGTCATCATCATACTGATATCATTCAAGCCCAAAGCCTCGCACCAGCTGGGCAAGTGGCCACATATAGTGGCCACAGAGGGGAAAGGATAGCCCCCACATTCAAGAGGGGCCCTCTTAGAGACCAAACCTTCCCACTCCACATGTTGACCCCATTTAGACATGACTTCAGTGTTTACTTTCTGATGCTATGTGACAGCATTTTTTCATGGAATTTTAGAACTGGTTTTGCCTATTCTGTGTAATGTTCTAGATACTATGTATAATTGAAAGTGTCTGTGTCCATCCTAATATACAATCCCTGTCCAACTGATGATAGTTGTTTTTAGATGCCAAAAAGAAGAGCCATTCAATGTCATGGAAAGGGAGTATCAGAGAAGTACAGAAACATTTCTGAGATGCAAAGTAAATTTTCTGTATCAGTGTCTGTTACAAAGATAACAGTGGGAATTTGGCATTGGACTTACATCTGCATAGGTGGACTCAGACCTGCAGGAAGTAGAATTGTGCAACTTCACAATATCTATATTTAGTAGTGACATGTTATTAGTTTACTATGTAAGGGATCCCGCAAAATGATTGTTGCACATTGGAGCCAGTGCAGATCAAATACTCCTGATGCCCATAAAGGGAATGACTAAGAACTGCCAGTGTGCAGTGTGCACTCTTGTTGTTGTCTTCATGTGCATCTTCACAATTCACTAGGAGGATCACATAGCACCTCTTCTACATGGTTAAGCATGTATAAAGGTAAACAATGTAGACCACATTATGGAATAAATATAAGCACATTTGAATCATTGTCATAGCAAATTGATCTGTGATATTATATCCAAGCATTTTAGTACTTAAATATTATGTGTCAAATATTAATGATTAATTAGAACTTCAATTAAAACTCAACAAATTTTGTATTATACCTTATATTGTTTTGTTAACTCATATATGAGAACTGTGTAGCAAAGTGACTGCAATTCCTTTCCCCATTCCATTGAAGGAAGCCTGTTTGAACGCAGTGTATCTTAAGCTGAATTAATATGTATAAGGTTATGCAGACAGGACCATAGATGAAGACTTCTTTGATTCGGGTCACATTTATGAATGCCCTTGGTAACATGGCCTTGGTGAGCCTCTCTCTTTTAGCATTAGCCTTATCGTTCAATGTGTAAGAGATGGATAATAAAATCAATCTAGGACGAGGTTTTTCTAAAGTCTACAAAACTTAGTTTTTTTAAAAAATAATAATAAAATAAAACAGTCCAATCTTCTGCTGTTTTGTATCTATCACAGTAAGTCACATTAACATACAGAGAAATATCTGAATTCCTTCAAACTATCTATGCCCAGAGAGTCTTTTTTTTTTTTTTGAGTGAGGAGGTAATAGCTTCATGAAGGTCAGGAGGCTGTTTTAGCCCAACCTTAACATTTAAGTTCTCATCCGTTTTATGCTTGAGATTTCAAAGCAATTTAAGGAACAGCCCCTTATTGTTCTTAGATAGCAGACTGTAATCTTTTTCATTGGAAAAAAACAAAGTTCTTCCTGTGCTTAATTGATTATTTTTCTTCTTCTAGTTATTGTGGTTCTGTATGTAGCCTTGAGACGGCAGAAGAAAAAAGACACCCTAATGACCTCAAAAGAAGACGTCCGAGACAATGTCATCCATTATGATGATGAAGGAGGTGGTGAAGAGGACACCCAGGCTTTTGACATTGGGGCCCTGAGGAATCCTAAAGCAATCGAGGACAACAAAATGCGCAGAGATATAAAACCAGAGGCTCTCCGCTTGCCTCGTTCAAGACCATCCGCTGAGGACAATACAAATATCAGAGATTTTATAAATCAAAGGCTGAGAGAAAATGATGGAGACCCCTCAGCTCCCCCTTATGACTCACTAGCGACATATGCTTATGAAGGAAATGGATCTGTGGCTGAATCTCTCAGCTCTATAGATTCCCTTGCAACTGAAGCAGACCAGGATTATGATTATTTGAGTGACTGGGGACCACGTTTCAAAGTCTTAGCAGAGATGTTTGGAGAAGAAGAAAGCTATAATCCTGATAAAATTACTTAGCTGGGGGGATAGAGGAAAAAGGAAAAGTTAACCCATGGCAGATTTTGAAATGAGCAAGCTTTATAGAACAAGATCCTTTTGATGATAAGAGACAGAATCTGTTTCCAGCAAGCTCCTATATTTATCATACCGTCAATCTTGGTTTAACTATTTGTCAAAGGAAGGATCATCCTTGACTTTTTTTTGTTGGTTGGTTGATTTTTATTATTATTATTTCCTTGGATTCACAGTGAGGCAATCTCAGGCCTATTCACTACAGTTTACTGTTATAGAAAATACCCAGAAGGAAGGAAAGCTTTCCAGCATCGTGGTGGAAGAGTGGTAGATTTTTCTTAATTCCACTGAAGTGCCTATTGAAACTCTTACCATTTAAAGTGGAAGTGATTGCAGCAATGGAGTGATGGAAAACTGACATAAAGAAAAGGACATTAATCTTTATGTCGAGAAGCAATAGCCACATGCTGACTTCTGATTCTTTTAAAACACAGCAGCTGGAATCTGTCCAGTGACCACAACTTGACGGGGATAATGTTTTAATCTTATTGGTTTGTTTTTGCTTTTGTTTTGTTTTTTAAACCGGGAAACATTTTTTATTCCTACACTTCACAGGGAGGGGGGTAATTAAAAAAGTGGTTATTCCCATTCAAGTTGTAAAGTTGTAAACTTAATTCAATGGATATTTAAAATGTTCATCAAAATGTTACACTTTTTCAAGAATTAAAAAAATGAGATGTGACAGAATCATATATGTCTCATTTCAATGACACAATTATTGTCCAATGTTTTCTTTGTGCTAAGAAGGAAAGAGAAAAGGTGCAGAAAGGAAGAGTTTTCATGTGAACCTTTCATTCTTGTAATTATCACATGAACTGGTGAGTGATTTCCTACAATTTGTAACTAGCTATGATTCTCAACCTTTGGTCCTTTAAAATTTTTGGCCTTCAATTCCAGAAATCCGAACCAGGATGAATAATAGCAAGAGATTGTTGGGTGACTGGAAAGATGAAAACTCTAGTCACAGATCTCAAGGCCTGTGGTTGAGAAAGCTTAGGAAGAACATCAGATGTTCAGAAAAGTTCAATTGATCCATCATATTATTTTTCACAGGAGACAGCAAAATGAGTAACCAGTAGAGTGATGGATGCTCCTTATTCCTGCAATGATGAATACTCCTAATGTATTATGAATACAAATTGGCTTAAAAAGTACCCAGCGTTCAACATGCATTCAGTAAATATCTGTTGCAGCCCAATGACCTCATCAGATGGGCTGGAATTTGGCGGTGTATGCAGGTTCCCCTTCAGTTTTCCTATGAAGCCCACCAGCTTCTTTCCCATGATGTACATCTATTACTCTTGGGGCTCCATGGCAAAACTGATGCAGAGCTGGTGTATGGCCCTGTAGCAGCAAAACAGGAGGCTTCCCTTGTTATACAGAGATCAAAAGGGGAAAGCCAGGCAGTGGATGCTTCCCCCTGTGGGATGAGGTAAAGACAGGCAATACTTGGTTTGAGGTGACAGGTTCTCCACACCTTATCCTGGGGACTGCTGGATTTGCCACAATCTGTTGCGATACTGGTGACAAATATGATAAAGTCCCAAGAGTGAAAATACACATCAGAAATATACAATGCATATCGCAAGTTCCCAATCAGCAAGAGACGTATCCATTGTATATCAAAAGAATCTGACATGTGTCAGAAGTACTTGATGCACATCCAAAGCATCTTGTGTGCATCAAAATATCTTTCCAGTGTCAAGGCCTGCATCACTGGCAAGGCTGTACTTCTTCAATATAGCTACAAATTCATGGCATTATGAAATGTAGGGTGTGATGTAGAATCACCATAACAGCCATAAGAATGATGAGTTTTCATGTAAAATGTAATTATATTTATATTGTGAAAACTGAAATTCAAGAAAGCCGGAAAAATTAAAGGTTTGCTACTGCAGTAGGCCTGGATGACTCCACATTCAAATTGACCAAGAGCCCAACTGTGGCATGTAATAGTGTGACACTGAAAGAAACAAGAGCAGTAATGACTATAATGAATGGTCTAAACCTCTAGCCAGTCAGCTTATCAAAGTATTCATTGCAGACTAGTTCCTTTTTCTGGAAGGTTTAAATTGTAATTATAACTAGACAGCAGTGGACAACTCTCAGGGGTTGGTGGAATACACTTCTCCTTTGGAGAACTTGGGTGACTGCATTTTCCCCTCCCTCTCCTCCTTCCCTTCCCTTTCTTCATCTCCTCCACCCCCCGCCCCCACCCCATCCCATCTAGAAAATTACAATTTTGCAAGTGCTTCCAATAGAGGACATGTGGGAAACATTTCATCATGTTTTTGGCCTCCTATGGAAAACAGCAAACACAACAAATAGTATGTTCTTTTGGTTTGAGTTTTACAACCACAGTGTGTATATGGGTGCTTTATGGGATAGGATTAGGGTTAGGTTTATGGATTATTATGCTCACTGTTGTAGAAGAGGCATAACAGAGACAATTATATCAGTTTGAAAGTGGGTCTTTAAATATTTCCCTCTGTTTATAGGCAGAAAAAACTTAGGGTATAATTTCTCATTAAGAGAGAGATAATTTTCCAAATGTTTCAGGGTTATGGTCATCAAGCAGGGTAATTGTAGCATGCATCTTTGTTTTCTCTTATGGCTATGTCTATATGTGCATGTATTACCACCACAAATGATTACAGCAGTAACTGTGTGGACTATAAGTCCCAGGGCCACATCCCATGGGAGGAGGGGAGAGATAGAGAGAGATATATATCATTTTTCCCCATGGCATTCCATTGTGTTCTGTCTTTATTCCTTAGACTTTTGTCTCCTCCCATTCTGTCCCCTCAATGTTCCCACACCAGTGTTTTCTTGTTTTGTGGGGGTTTGGGGGGGGGGGGTCCCATTAAAATTTGTGCAATTGCTGAAGTGCAAAACAGGAAATTATCAATAAAGCAACATTTTAGATGTTCAAAAATGCAGTTACAGCAACTTAAAAAAATAAAATTATTTAGCATTTCTTTTCTGTATAGAAAGAGCAGTGGTGGCAGAAGGAGCATTGGGGAGAATGAAAATATTACCCACATATATACTCACACTGAAGCATTGGAATATCGAGTGAAAATGGGCAAATGCACCATTTCCCATTCCAAAGGAACCCCCCCCCTCATTTTAAATGTTTCTATGCACATGGGGATGAGTTGAGTCAATTTCTTCCCATCTTTAAAAGCTTCCTATTTCTACATGCTGCAGAGGCAGAATCCCATGGACAATCTATGGGTTGTGCATCATTTGATGGGATCCATGGAATTCCATCTTTGAAGTGTGAAGAAACTGAAACCAACATCCATCTGATGAGATTCAAAGTCATAGTTGTTAACTTTTCTTCATTGTGTCAGCCTGCTGGCTTGGAGATTCTGGGAGTTGTAGTCCAAATCAACAACTTTACCAAGCTTTAGTCCTAGTTTTGGAAAGTTCAGCAAGTTATGGAAAATCTTGTAGAGTCTATGGCAATTTCTTCAAGAATTAGTCTCCAAGGAAATGTTTGAGTGTGGGATGATTAACTCTGAATAGGTTTGCTGATTTGAGCACCCTATTTTTGCAGCTTGCAGTAGTGATGATGTGATGGCATCACAACTAAAGCATACATTTTAATTATTGTTTCCTCCCGGAATAAGCAACTACAAGTGTCACATAATTCAAAAAATTCTCTTGTTGGCCACTCAGTGATTTCTGTGTTGGAAATATCCTTCGGCGCCTCTCCCCATGCGCATGCACACACAGCAATTTCAAGAGCAGATGTATAATTTATATAGATATCCAGAGTCTTTTTTAAAAAAATCAGGCAAAATGTGAATTTCCAGTAGGAATGAGCCATTTGGCAAAAGCCCATGCCATTTTCAGTGCCCTGTTTTCAACCTGCGCCCCTTCCCCAATTACATTTTTGGGGAACTTCCCAAATTTGGGAGGGGTTTCTGTTTTCATGCTGGAAAGATTTCGTCCATTTGCCCCAATGGGGAAATTTTAGAGGCTCGTTTCTCCATCATTTTTTGACCTATCAGTATGAAACCTGGCTCACTTATAGGCCAGATTTATTCCTGCAAGCCTGCCAAGTTTCAGAATGTTTCACTAATTTCTTGGAAATTTTTCTATCAAAACTTTAATTTTTTTAAACAATCATATTGCAGAAAATATATTTTAATCAAGATCAAATACAAATCATTGGTAGCATTGCTTTCCCTCCCCGGCTCTCAAAATCTACACATATATGTATACATAAAACACATATAATTCAGAACAATGCCTACAATTTTTAATCTGTTTTTATTCTATATGTTTATTGTTTAACTGTTTTCATTGTTTTTAGTATATGGGATATGTTTTATGACGATGTTTTAAGTGGACCCCCTGGTAGCACACTGGGTTAAACCACAGAGCTGCTGAATTCACTGACAGAAAGCCCTGCTTCCTGGTTGAGCCAATCAGAAGAAGAAAGCTGCTCAAGTGCTCTGTGTTCTATCTATCTCAGTTCCTTAGCTGCTCTTGGGATCTTCCTTTTGGAGCAGAGTCAATTCCAGTCTTTTCCTTTGGCAATTTCATTTATGGGCTATGAAAGGGCATTTTGGGGAGGGGGTGTTTGTTTAAATATTGGGGTGGATTACTGAAGGGAGGGGATAGCCTGACTCCCTTGAGTCCTCACAGGGAGTATTCAGTTCCTCTCCAGGTCTAGCAGAAGGAGATTAAAGGAAATTATGCTAGAATCAGAAGTGTCTTAAGCCCAATGCTTAACTCAGAGCTATCTGAAGGAAATTAAAGGAAAGGATGCTAGAAGCAGGGGTTTCTTAAGCCTGAAGCTTAACCCAAGGCTGTTTGAAGGAGACTAAAGGAAAGGGTACTAGAAGCATGGGTGTCTTCAGACAAATGCTTAACCCAGTGCAGTGTGAAGGAGTTTAAAGGAAAGGATGACAGAAGCAGTGGCAGGGAATGGTTCTTAAGACTGATGCCCTAAATATGCCTTGTAAGCTCCCCCTTTGCTGCCAATGGACCTGATCTTCCCGGATCTTTCAGCTGCCAAACCAATTGTTTCTCCTGGCTAAATTTGGAGGCTTCAAAAAACAGACTGGGAGGGGGGGGGTCACCAAATCTAGACTCCAAAAACGGCACCAGGTTTAACCCAATTGCACAACTCTATTAAGTAACAATGAGTGGGTGGATACATTTTTCATCAAAATCCTAATGCTTCTATGAGGTTCACCTCACATCTTTTATCTTCTCACCTGAGATGATCTGCTCAGTTACCTAGTCCTTTTGCACTCTAGTGGACCCACTATGGACAACTTCATGAAGCTATGTTGGCTGACTTCCATTTCTTTTATTTCCCTTCCATTTTAATTTTTATAATGTATCCACTGTTTCTTTTAACTGCTGGTCATAACAAAAACAGCAACACCAGGAATAAGGAAACATTTTCTGTCTCTTAATTTTTTCCCCTTTGGTACAAGCAACACAGAATTAAAGTGTAAGTTTGGGGATTTCACTTTGACTTGGGCAGGTGCCCAGGTTTTGTTTGGTTTGTTCATTTGTTTTTCTGGTTAGTACACACCATGAACTTTGGACTTGCAGTGTACAAAATCTGCTGAACTCTTTCAACTCAGTCTGGGGGAAAACACAGTCTTTTGCTCATCAGAAAATAGACAGCTTGCTTCTTAGCATGACTGTTTTTCATAGGTCAC